AGAGAGAGTGAAGAGAGAGAGAGAGAAGGAGAGAGAGCGAGAGAAGAGAAAGATAAAGAGAAAGAGAGAGAGAAAGAGAGAGAGAAAGAGAGAGACAGAGATGGAGAGGGGAGAGAGAGAGGGAGCACAGCGGATTTTCCAAGCCGGTACCCCTCACACTGACCTTCTTGATCAAAACTCAAACTGTGCTCAGCACAATCTCATGGTTAGGTACAGTCAAGTCGCTGCGCAGGGCTTCGTGAAACTCTACCCACTCCTGCACATCAAAGCTACAGAAGCCGCTGAGCAGCTGCATGCGGGGACCACTGCTACTTCATTTGCCTCTCTACATCGAGGAGCATCAAAAGTGAAGTAGAATCCAGTTGTGCAGACTGCAGCTTGGATCGTGGAGAATTGCAGCATAGTCTGAGGCTTCCACCCAGCCCAAGCGCAGCTCGCCCTCCAACTTCATCTCTACCGTCTCGAAAGGCTTGCAAGCAGGGAGTCCTTTAGATGGCAAAAAAACACACGAACTCTTCAAAACTCGCTTCCCTAAAGAAGCTTCTCCCCGTGGCAGGCGGTTCCGCCGTAGCTTCGGCCGAGAGTCCGCAGTGAGTGAAAGCACGCTCTGCAGAACTTCCAGACTGGACCTTCATTGCGAAGGCAAAAGGTGTGGGGTCGGCATGCTGAGATGCTGAGGTCAGAAGTGCAGTTGTCTGGCTTGGCACTTGCGTGGGTAGCCGTGCTGGCAAATCCAAAAACGGTGCGGTCAGCGTAGTCACTCTCTGCACACAAGCCTGAGCCTAGGTATCCTAGGACCCGTGTTCCAATCTTTCAGCGAAGCTTCGTTCAGGCGGATGTGGCTCGTCTCATAGACTGCCGGCAGCCCAGGGTAAGATGCAGAGTCCAGCTCTTCAATAAAACCTCACAGACTCGGCACGGCAATCGGTCGAACGCAAACGCAGGCACTCTTTTCCTTGCTGCGACTTGACTGGATGCTTCACCCCGCGGCACCAAACTTTGGCCTCTCTTTGATTGTCTCTTTCGATTGGCCTTTGCCTCGCCTCCCCCGTTCGAGCGGTGCTTGGGTCAAGTTCCTAAACACCGATCTGCCGCTTCAATCGAAGCCTCAACGTAAGCTCTGAAAAAGTGCCGGTCATTGTCATGTAAAGGCAGCCCAAAGGCTGGTGTCCTCCTGCGGGCTGTGGACCAGACCCTCAGTTCCCTCACCGATGTCCACCTGATTTGCACAGCAGGGGCTACACCATCCTACATCCCACCATTGCTCGGTGTCTCTGTGCCTATCCGGCCCCTCATATGGAACCGCTCCAAGATACACAAAAGAAAGCGGGGTGAACAGGGCACCCTAGACTACTGCTACCTGGCTGCTACCTGTGCCAGCGGAGCCGAGCTCAAGCTACAATCCCCACTGTATCGGCACCGCTGCGACATTGGCATGCTCTCGAGCTGCAATGGCTTCATTGAAACGATTGCTACCGAGACCAAGAGCAGGCAAGAATCGTGAAGCTCTTCCCGGATTCCGCGGATTGCCGCGTGCAAGGCCGACTGATCTGAGAGGGCCTTTGAAGGCGTCTTCAATCTAAGGGAAGTGGGCTGAGACACTTGCGAACATGCGAGATCGACTTGTGCTTCGCTCTTCCGGGGCCTTCTTCTCTGCCAACACGGAGCGATGCTCTCGCCGCATTCCATTGGGGAAGATCTTCATACGCTCCACCAAGACCTTTCCGCAGTATGTGATCCTCAGCGGAGCTCAAAGGAATGCCTTTAGCCCTCTCTGTCGCAATTCTTGCGAACTTCGCCCCCTCTGCATCTGCTCACGGAGGCACCGGTGTGCCTCAGACGATCGCCTACGCGTCTAGCCTAGTGGACCAGGCGTCTGGACGAAGACAGGCTCCACCAGCCTCGGTGAGCTCCGGACCAATGCCGCCAATCACCAGTGTGCCGCTTTGCCGAGCACTACAGTCGCTACAGGCTGCCATCCACCATCAAGATTGAGAGACTTTGGCACTTGCAGACAAGTGGCCGGTAGATGCGCCTCGGGGCTGGTGGCTCTAGCCGCTAGCCTATGCTTACCTCTTGCTCTACACCGCCGGATGCCCGACAGGGTCCGATGATGGCCGATAACGGGCCAGCTAGCCCCAACGATCAGAGTCCATCTTTTCGACCCAAGGGACTTCCTGTTTGCGACGCGAAGAGAGCACGATCCTCGCCATGTTTCGGGGGCAACTTCTGTTGGTGGGGGGTGGGAAGACAAACACTTCCATGGCTCAGGAACACAGGAAGCGAGCCCCCTGTTCCCCGCAACTTCCGATCCCGAAGGGATTCCGAAGCAGTCCTTCGCGCAGCTCTCGGAGTAGAGAAACCAGGGGCTTCGCGTGCTGATCTCCCCAAGCCCTTGGACCGAACTCAGGGAATCAACCAGCCACAACCACGGCCACCACCGCCATCTTCTGACACCAGCACGGTCTTTACTTGTTGCTAAGGACGACGGGAGCACCTTGGCCACTACCTCTCTCCCTCATAGATCCCTCATTGCCTGTCGAAGGCACGATGTGTCAATGCCGAAGCTCTGTAAGAGATCGCACAAGGCCTGTGCGAGGGCTGAAATCACACTCTCTCGTGAAATCCGGGCCACGTGAATGTTGCTCAGCTCCGTGTTTGGGGACAAACAGTTTCTGCGGGATTCCTGAACCTGCGGGAGAAGGCCCTGCATCTTGCCTAACACTCCCAGCCAAATCCAGAGCGCGACCCCAAATCAAAAGCCAACGTCAACACTCATGTCCCGACCCGTCGCCTGCTCGCTGTTGGGGCATTTCATCACTTGATCCCCGGCCAACAGGAGCTTCGGGAGCGACAAGCATGCCATAGCAGTCGGCAGCGTCGGAGAAATTCAATTAGCCTTCCTTGGCATCCTCTTCTTGTTCCTTGAACTCAAACCTGTCGATACTTTCGCTTGGATGGGGCATCCTGAATTTGTGTGGATCCATCTCTTGCTCATGGCCTCCAGCTCGCTAGTGGACCGTGGTTTGAAGCCCCCGGCTGCAAAGCAGCCTCTTCATTCCCCACTTGATCCGAAGCAACTGCAGAGAGCCGGAGAAAAACTGCGTACTCCGAAGCTGGTACTCCTAGCTATGAACAAGATACCGGTGATTGTAGAAACTGGTAGAAATTGCTCAAGCCCGCAGAGATGCGGCTAAAGAGACGGCAGCTGATTCAACAGCGACGACATCAGCATCAACAAGAAGAGTAGTAGCAACAGTGACAGCAAGAGAAGCAGACCTCGACAGGACGACGACAAATCGAGGCAGCTACCTGCGTGCTCTTTGTCGGCCTGGAACCCCTAGCCCTAGCTCGAAAGTCCCAAGGCCCCAACTGAAGAAGTACCAGTGGAGACCTGGCACGAAACTCCAGCGTACCAAGCAATGCTGGCATGACCGAGAAGCTTGGACACCCAATCTCCGGGCAACCATGCAAGAGAAAGCCCTATAGGCAGGAGAGCGGACTCGCACAAGCTTCTGGTGTTCAGCTGCTCTTGGGACTTCGAGGCGCCAGCAGCAGACACCCAAAGACACGAATCGCCAAGCCTCGGAGCGGCTTTGGCTCGTCTTCTTCCACTTCTTCGCGATCGTCAGCTACATCTTGTACGCCTGGTGCTGTGGGAGGTCCCTTCTTCTGAGAGACACTTTTAGGTCAAGGCCCCGCTTTTTGGAAGAACAAAGTCGAATGGGCCCTCCCAAGTGACCCCGACGACCTTAGACCTAGCGAGGTCCATCGCCTCGCCGCCTGCCCCGCGGCTTCCGCCGCGCACGGCTTGGGCGCATGCCTCCGCGTGATGCCGATTTAGTTCTGGAGGCGCGCACAAAAAAAGCGCCCCCCATCCCTGCACTATCCCTGGATGGTTGGTGTCGCTGGTTCTCGAGACTCGAGTAGACTCCGTGTTTGCACCCACCTGCACTATGCTGACTCAGTTGGTTCTTGGTGGTGCCTCAAGCTGGCGACACTAGCATATGACATGCCTCCTGCACGCGCTATCACTTGATCAATCAAGGACTCCACCCACAGCTTCACCACACGAAGCTTTGGGATGCGAAAGAGGCTGATCGATTCAAGTGCGCTTTACGGGATGGTCGGTCAGAGCAGGCGGTAAGAGCTCAATGCCTTTAACCCATCCAGCCATGGTTCAGCCTTTTCTATCTTGTTCTATCTTTTTCTTCGAGATCCGTCCACTGATGCTCTGCGAGTTGGCAGCCAGTCCCGTGGAGCAAGGTGGAGGCTGAATTCTTAAGACATAAGACGTTACAACCGTATCTAGGCATGATTGAACTCTTCGATTGGGGGTTGAACGGACCAAGTTGCTCGCTGGAGGCAGGGAACTGTCACCGCAAGCGAGTGTGCTGGACACGGATATGAAAGCGGTCCAGTTCAAGAAGAGAGCAAGCGAGATTACATGTTTCGACACATACCTGTTGGTTCTGCAGGTTGTGCTTCTGGTGCAGCGAGCTCCACAGCATCCACAAAGCTCAAGCAGGACTGGCTCTACTCACGCTGCTTTCCCGGACGGGAGCGAGTTGGAGTACAACGTCAACTTATGAGGCCCTAGGCTAGGCCCAGTCTCTGAGGAGGTAGAACGAGCACATTCACCCTCAACACTGATGCTGGCGCCTTGACCGGGTAAGCACCAAGTTGAACAGATTCTTGCTACGTCTTACCGTTAACCAGCGTCTCATATGGCTTTTACTTTGCCCGCCTTGCGCCGACACTTCTGCAACTCGGGCACGCAAAACGACCAGCTGCGCAGCTGCAACGAAACCAATCGTCAACGGATCATGCTTTGGGTTAATGGCCTTTTCGGCGGAAGCAAACTTTTTGCAGAATGGCTGCAGTTTGTCGTTGGTAATTGTTTTTTTGCTTCTGCAGGAAATTTTTTGGGGGGAGAGCACCCATTACCTGCCGGCCGTGGTCCTGGAAATGCCAGTACTTCGGGGACAGCTTGGCTGTGCATCTGCGGGGGGGGTGGGTGAGGGGGGAGTGAAGGCGTTTCTGTCGTGACACACCCCCCCTTATTTGCAAAGACCGCCGGGTGCACAACTATGCGACAAACCCCGGTGGAGACGCGGATGAATCAAGTTTTTGGAAGTGTTGAATGGGCAGGTACACAACAGGAACCGGTGAGTTGTAAGAGCAACAATGATATCTCTGCGGCACAACAACAATAACTCAATAACAACAAGACCAATAACAACAAGCACATTAACCATTAACAAGAAGAGGAATAAGGAGGAGATGATGATATGATGATGATGACGACGACGACGATGATGATGATGATGACAAAGATGTCGGCGGAATTTTGGGTGATGTCCGGTGGAGCGGGACGGGACGGGACCCGCATGGGACCGGACCGGATGGCACGGGCCGGTGCTGAGGTTTCCATGGCTCCTTTGAGCAAAGGAGCTCGGAGGCAGAAAAGCGGAGAAGCAGAAAATCGAAGCAGGACAAGCCCAGAAGCGCAGAAAGGCTGGCCGGTGCAAAAGCAGAGAAGCAGAAAAGCGCTGCAGGATGAGATCGGATGAGACCACAAGGACGGACAAGCGGCGAAGCGGAAAAGCCCTGAAGGAGGGACAGGGGAGCAGCGGCAAGGGGGAGGGGCCACAGACAATCGCCGAAGCAGAAAAGCGGAGCAGGAAGAGACCGGAACTGCGCAAAAGCTCAGAATCGGTGAAGCGGAAAAGCAAAAGCGCAGAAGCAGACGATCGGAGCAGAAGAAAAGCGGAAGCGCACAGAAAACTGAAAATCAGCAAAGCGCAGCAGCACCAGAATGACGGACGAGCGGAGGAGCGGAAGTTCAGAGGGCCAGAGCGAGGCCAAAAAAAACATTTAAAAAAAAAACAGCTGCAAACAAACACAGACAAAAAAGTGCCCTCCTTACAGAATTGGTCAGGCATGGTCTGTATCAGAGGCTAGTCCTCATGATGCTCTTGTCACGTACGCCAGTCTCGGCATTGCTTGCTGCTCACCTCCTCAAGTGCCTGATTTGTACATGTCCTCCCTGGCCCAATAGCGGCCCCTTGTGACCATACTTTGGTGACGATGTTTGTCGGCCCTGTGGGGTCGAAGTGTCACTTCTTCGCAACAAGCGCCGTGCTTGTGCTGCTCATGGCAAGCAGCAATTCACTAGCAGTCAGTGAGGGTTTGGCAGCAAGATCATGTCAGGAATGATCGACGGCGGTGAGACTATGCGATACCTGACACAATATCTCGTGCTGCATACGCCTCTGTGCCCCTTCGGCATGGTTGAAATGGAAAGAGCTGCTGAACATCTGCGTTTCAGGATCAGTTTCTGCGAAGTGACAGCCGCTCTTTCCGTGCCTGTGAAACACTCCTCGGACATCTGCACAACATCCTTGCGTTTCGAATAAAAGTTTGGGTTGGCTGTACAATCATTGCCTTGCAGGAAGCGCAGCGAAGACTAGCAGCCAAAGCGGCAGGCTACTGGATCTTACCCAAAAGGTACGATTAAGATGATTAAGTTACAAAAACAACAAAAGACAGGTCTGTCCAGGAATTGAAAGCTCCATGGCGCCCGGTCGACACTGCACCTAGCGACAACGGCGGCGTTATCGTCGCGTCCACCATGCATTCTGCATCATCCATGGTGGCTGGATTCGAAAAGGCATGAAACTTAAGAATGCAGGGATGAGCCCCAGGCACCGTCACACAACCGACCTTCATCGAATCTCGCTCGTTGACGTGATGCTCGGAGCGTTCACAAACAATCCGAAATCTTAGAAAAAGAACTCGTCGGCTCCGGGGACCATGTCTAGCGAGCTTCTGACCCTGAACCTCCCTCTCACAGAACTGACGCAACGAGCTCGTCCACTCTCAGCCTGTCTGCAGCCACCTGGCCGGCAAAAGCTTCAGCTTCGGCTGGAGAGTTGTAGAAACTCGCTCCAACAAAGGCTGGCCACGGTGTGGGGCGTCTGGCTCTGGTCCTCCACGATGTAGCTTCCTTCGCCAAGTGTAACAACTCCGCCTCCCTATGCAGCTCCTACAAGCCTCCCAGAGCATCGCTCTGGCAACGGCCTTCGCCCGCCTTGCACTTCACCACGCCCCGCCATCCTCCCACAGAAACAAGGTTTGAGGGCCACCAAGGTCAGGCTCAAGGTGGGTAGGGCATGGAGATGTCATGGACGGTCCTCTTCCGGAACTCTCAGAAACTTCCACAGGATCGCCAGGGATGAAGCAGCCGGGCCCTTGGCATGCGCAGTGGGTGCTCTGCCAGCAAAAGCAGAGAACGGCTGCGCACAGCTGCAACGGACCGCAATTAGTGGAGTAGAAAAAGCCTGTGCGCTGCAGTCTGGGTGGCTGCTATCCACGACCACCACCCAAGGGTCTGCGAAGGCCGCCTCGGTGGCAGCGGCAGCAGCCGCCTCTACCTGCAGAAGTTCGGCTCTTGAAGCACTCGACACTCTGGGGGGGGACGGGCTGAGCTAACCGAAAGCCGTATTCCAGGCAAGATCCCGGCCTTCGTCGGCTCGGTGCCCAAGCTCTTCGGGCCCGAGCCTCCTCCCAAATCAACCGAACTCTCAGGCACCGTTTCAGGCTTACCTGGCATAAGATTGGGAACCAAGGATGCTGGGATCCCAATCCTTGGAGGTGGGACCACAGCGAGCCCAACGCCATGCCAGTCCCAGTCAGCACCAGCCGGCCACCAAAAAGGCCTGCCTCGGTGGTGGTATGAAGCCTGTGTAGCCTCTGGCACGGTGCGAAGTATCTGGGAGATCTGATTTGTTGCACACCAATGTAACCAGAACTGAATGCGCAAACGACACTTGAATCCAGTCTATAAGAGCTGGAGCTGGAGACAACTTCCAACACAAAATGAATCGTTTGCCGTTCGAGTCACATGGCCACCGACCTTCACCAGCTCACCTTCAGCCCACAACAAACGCAGAACTCAGTTGGCACGAAGCACAAAGTCAAGTGAATCACAAGAGCCCGCGAGGGGTCTGTGAGCTGGCACGTCACAAGATTGAAGCACAGGAGAGGGTAACAGTTGCTAATTTTGCCACATTCAATCGTAGCAGCTCGTAGCACTTGCGTGCTGGTGTTCGATTGCTGCGGTTGCAACTGAACCAATCGGGCGAGTTGGTTAGGACAGCACCCCAGGATCCGGAATCGTGAGCCGAGGGCACAGGTACACACCAGGAGCTGTGACGACGCCAGCGCTGGTAGCTCCCGCACCTCTTGGGTTACGTTTGCACGATGCCACTTAACTTACAGTAGAATTAGATTGTCGTTGGACATGGTTCAATGATGTCGGCTGTAAGCAATCAGGACTGGAGGATCCTGAGGCAATGCTCCCACCATTATCCGCAAAGACAAGTTTGATCATTCATCGGTGGCGCGCGCCGGATGCCACATCGAAGCCAAGACTCCGCCTGCAGCTCATGCCGGGACAGGATCAAGATTAGAAACCGCAAGATCGAGGCATCATCAAGAAACCATGGGGCAGCACTTCCCAGGATCCAAACATCGACTGTTGATCCGTGGCAAGATCCAAAGCAAATGTTTCTGGGCTTCGGGTGTGAGGCTCTCCGGGGGAAGACGCTCCGAGCAGAACAGGGAGTTGAGACCTCTGGCATGTGCTCACGAACATTGGGACATAAGGCCATCGCCGGCACTGGTTCATCTGAGAAAAGATCCAGAACGCAGTTCATCTGGCACTCTTCGCCTGGGAGATCGGCAGCCGAGTCAGTGCATTCGTCCTTCCGCAGCTACTGCGTGAAACTGAGTCTTACTTCACCTGCAACCATCCTGGAATGCTGGATCCATTCTAATTGCTGAGATATCGAATCCGAAACTTGAACCTCGGCCATTTAGCCAGAAGCTTGGCGGGGTGCACAAGCTGATGAGGTTCTGTGTTTGTTAAGTTGTGCTTGAGCTCCTCCCTAGAACAAGGGCCTTGTCAGACAGAAGATCGAAAGGACGACTTAGTCTGGAAGCCCAACACAGAACTTTCATCGCAGATTTCGCAACCTTTCGCTTCCACATGGTGCAAGTCGTTCATGCCTAATGACTTTATTCCTTCTCGCATGGCTGAGGTCTACGCCCACAAGCTGGGTTGCTTGGTTGAACAGAGGTCGAATGACCTAATGACGTCGAGGTCCCCACAGGGCTCAGAGACTTGCAGCAAAGCCTCAATACCAGACATCGTCCGCGTCGAACCAGCCAGAATTGCTGTACTCTTGACAGCTTTCCTTGGCTGTGCTGTGTTTCTGTGGCTCTGCATCTGATTCGTTGTAAGGGATGTGTGGCAGAGGATCGGACCACGAGCACGAAACTATTGGAGCTTAACTTTTAAAGTCAACGAAAAAGATCTTGTTGCACTAACTTTCCGCACCCAGCGTCACATTTCCGATAGCCAAAGAGCCAGAGGAAGGATGCTTTCGCCATGCACAAATCCTCGGACAGCACAGCTCTGAAAAGTGCGTGCTAGTGACTAGTACTCTGCAGAATGAACATATATGTATATAATTCTGTCGCACCGCACACTGGAATCGACAAACCCCAAATTCAACTGTCGCCGCATCGCAGCACCGCACACCTCACCCCAACCATCACAGGCCAGCAGAGACAAGCTCGACGCCAGATCCAAATCTCTGCTTGAAGCGGTTCCGGTCGACTCCGTCTCCCGAAGGCCTATTAAGCTATGCTCCGAATTTTTGCTGGGCCGCTTGTCCGGATGGTGAGGGACGGAACGGAGGAGACGGGGGCGCGGTGGGGGTCCCCAGGGGGAGGGGTCAGGGGGAGGGGAGGCAGAGCCGCTGAAAAGGGCCGAATGCACGTCGCAAGCTGGGCTGAGCACCGCTTTGGTGTAAAAGATAATGCTCAAGCTTCGGTAAACGATTTAGCAGCTCAAAGCTACTGCAGTTTGCGTAGCTGATCATGCACAGGGCTTCGTAGGGGTGAAAGGTAAGGTGAGGTCTTTTGGAGTTTCCAAGCAGTCCCCCGTAGTCTGCAGTACGAGTGAGCAGCAACTAACTACTTTCTTTCCTGAAGCAGTCCCCAAGCCACCTACAAGCTTCCGAAGAAGAGCCCGAGCACAGACCCGAACCCCGTGGATGCTCTGCCGGCCTGGTTGTGCAGGCACAGCCCCCAAAGCTTGCAACTCAGCTCGGAAGGAGGGGACGGGCCCGGGCGGCTCAGGAAAACCTACCTGAACCAGGACCTGGCTTGAGAAGTCCGCTTCCTGATCGTGCTGCATGCTGCGGCCACGACCCCATGAATGCCGCAGAGGGCGCCGCAGGTGAAGCTGCACGGCTTGAGGCCCTAGCTGCTAGTGCATAATAAGTGTTGCTACGATGTGAGATGGTGTAGTTTGATGGATGTTTTACAATGACCTCGAACCCGGCTTGGATGCGGACAGGACAGGGGCCAAGGGTTTTCTATAGATGTGCGGGTGTGCGTGCTTGTGCCCCCGGTGAAGCTTCGAGCTCCATGTCTTCATTCGTTGGCTCATCTGGCTAACGGCTTCATTCCGCTCCCTGCAATTGCCACCTTTCTCATTGCCCTAAAACTCATGATCTACTTGAGAACGGCCGACGAGGAAGGAGAGAATGCAGGCGAATGCAGACCAACAGCTTGTGTTTCTGGCTCCTGGTAAATAGGGGGTACTGTAGCGGGCTGCCGGACAGTGCCCGCTTTTTCGCCGCACCGCACCATGAAGAACATCATCTCCTCCTTGGTTGCAGGCTCACGCGCTCTTACTTTCAGTGCCACTGCAGCATCCCTTGAAGTCTGGCTCGAAATCATGGCCCGCATTGAGCAGAGCATGGCAGAGACCAAATCTGTTTGCCTAGCGGCTGGGTAGACAAGCATGCTGCGGCGAAATGAAAATGCCGGACACGGGGTAAGGGCAGCCGGTGAGCAGGCAGAGCCGCGTGATGATGCTGCCTGTTGCTTTGCACAGTCTCAGATCGGCTTGTGCAAGATTGCGGTCTGCATTGCATTGTGCGGCTTCTTACGGCTTGCTGCGCCGACGGACTGAGACATCCGGCTGATGCAGGCTCGCAGCTTGTCTGGCAACTACGAACGAATGTCTCTCAGGGCATCTAGGATACGGTCCAAGAACGCTGGAACACATACGGTAAGTTGATCGGGTAGGTATGTTCTACTTTCTCTGACCAGGGAGTGCTGCTCTGTGTGCATAGTGCAAGTAGCCGGACACATGCGCAAACTGGCAGATTCCGTCTGCAGTATTCCAGCAGAAAGGCTCACACCACTTGCTATTGAATTTGTGCAGGATTTAGATCTCCAAATAGAAATTCCAACCTGTGATGGACCACAGGCTCCCAAGCGTGACAGCAGCTGTGATCAGCATGGGTGCACGGTGCACGAGATGAAAACAAATATACAACTCCAGTTCAAGAAGTCAAGAAAGACCCACATGCTAGACTGCTAGACAGCATTGGCACCTGCTTCAAAGCCACGGCTGCTTTGCGCAACATGTTCAGGTCTTTGTCCTCAGGGCCGGGCAGAGCACATTCGACCCCAGGGTCCTTGATATTTTGAAACCTCAAATACTCCAATGAGTACAGATGCGAGCAACATGACAGCTGAGGAACATCAAGTTAGGAGAACCGCGCCTGGACAGCTCCATTGGCACCCAGAAGACAATGCGGGCTTCCACGGCCTTAACTTGAACAGGCCGTCACTCGTGGCGAGGTACCATTTACAAGTCTGAAATGGTGTAGAAATCACAGCGGCTAGACATTCTGCAAATGGCTTTTTCAAGTGGCGGAGTCACCCGATACAGCTAATCCAGCCTTCGTCGCCACTGCGCCAGGCACATCCCAGCACTCCTGGCTGCAACAGCAGGCTTGGCTATCCGGGAAGCGCAACATAAATCTACATTCCACACCGCCGCACCTCTTGCACAGGATCATTCGTACTAGTCAGTCTCGATTGAGCAGTCCTCCCTGACAGGCGCGCTGCACCCTTTCGGCCACGGTAGCCTAGCAGGGGGTTGAGTGAAGAGTCGACTACAGGCCCGCGAAATCCGAAATGGAAAACAGGCAACAGAAGTTGTCACAAAACATGGCTCCCATACTTCATAACCCAAGTTGGCGCATGTCAAGCTGACCCTTTGCATACGTCCGACTTCCGAGCAATTCAAGCCGTAGCTGCCTGGAAAGCCTTCAGACTGGTTTGTTCCACGGCCAAACTCTCCCGATCGCGAAACATGGCACACGATGCTACTCGTTCCGTGTCGATGTTACTTCCACCCGGTTCCGCGGCATTCAGGTTTGGCCTCCGGCCCTAAAATGCAGCCATGCAGCCACACCTTTCCGAAGCCAGGGCAGCTCCGAGTTGGGCTCGTCCGCCCAGCTGGCGAGGGCCTGATACGTCAGGACGGGGGTTTTGCTGCCTCCAAGAAAATGGCCCGGCCTCTGCAAGTGCGGGGATGCTCTCCTCCTCCAGCGCTCTGATGACGAGCTCACGGGTGGTCTCAGATGCATCCTGAGATCCAGCGAAGCCGAAACAAGCTGGAGACACAAGCTATGGGAAATCATACAGGAAGCAAGCAATGCAGGTCATGAAGGGTCCCAACGAAGCTCGGTCACTGAGAAACCTGCATGCGCTTGCCAAGCATCGCCGGCACTCCGTGTGGCCCATGCAGCTGACATGTTGTCAAAGAGTTCATAATCGTTCCTGGGAAAGCGGGGCGGCTGGGCGGGAAAGCGGCTTTGCCGGCTTTGCAGTTGCTGAGTCCAAGAGGCAGCCCCGAAAGGCCGGCGCCTTCTACGCTGCGGCCGAGCGCTTCGGCGGCCTCGAGCAGGCAGCGGCCGAGCGCGTGCACCGCGTGGGCGTGGCTCCAGCCTGCCGAGGCTCGAGCCGCGACTGGCCACTTTTCACGCTCATGGCACTGTAAGGGCCTGTCGCCGTGCTGCTACTGGTCAAGGCTAGGCACAGTCAAAGTCTCCCGCCTTCAGGCTGTGGCGGTAGAAAGCCGTAACTGAAGTCGTCCTTGCAAGCGCAAGTACTGCGATCATCATCTCAACAGTGACGCCGAAAAGGATTTCACTAAGAATTATGCATGGCATGGACGTCATGTGCTCTGCAGGGCTCCATTCGAAGCTGGTCTGGCATGCCTTCAACATCTTCCACAGAGAGAGCTGCGTTGGGATGGATCATGATGGATCTAATGAACTCATGATAAGTTATTCCTTGGGAAGGTGCTCCGGTCTATACCAGGACCAAGTCAGTCCTCGACAGGGGAGTGCCTCATGGAAAACCTGGGCTGCCATGAATGAACGGTTGGTCCAGGAAGCATGGCACGGCTCTCAGAAAAGAAGAAGCGACTCCAAGCATGAAGCTTTGCGAGTTTCATGCGTTGGCAATTGAAAACTCCATCCGCCTAATTGGTGGCAGGAGAGAAGCGTGCAGGCCAGAACGCCATGCGGACGCAGCGCACGCAGCGCAGGCCTGCAGAAGGTCTCGACAGCTTGCAGCGGCACTCGGAAACCTTCCCGCTGGTCTTCCGGGCCTCAAATGCGAGGCTCGGGAAGCCAGGCAGCCTGCAGTAGGGCGCAGTGCAGCGTCCCTAGATTCACTAGATGTGACAGTTGCAGGATGTTGCAGGTGTCTCTTTGGATGCCACGGCGCTGTGCAATCAACGGGCGCTTGGCTTTCGGAGTTTGGCCGGCCTGTGTAGTCCAAGAACAGCAGGTCCAAGGCTCCGGAAACTTCGGTCGAGCGCAGGAAGTCCTCCCGGATGCCACAGGAAGACCAGCATGTCGAGAGTATGAGCACAGGATCCGGGCTCAGAGAATTATTCCATGTGGCGGTCCTGTACTCGACCGCACCAGCTGGAGATCCCCCGATCTGACCTCGAAACTGACGACTTTCACGAATCACCGTTTCCTACCAGAACGTATACAGCATGTGTCTCAGACTTCCTGCCCGATACCGCAGTGTCTCCATCCGCTTGCCGGGATGTATGCCGCAGGGGGGCAGAGCTTCCGCAACCGCTGGCACCACGTTTGGAGACAGGATCCTGAAACAGGAGTGCAGGACCCTTGACGAAAAGCAATAGTCGGCTAACTTGGCACATTGCTATTTAATCAGGCAGCCGTTCCGCAGGCAGCCCACGCGCCATCAGTGCCTCCCACCATACACAAATTGGACTGTGACTGGGTCATGAAGCCGAGGCATCTCAGCTACTGGTACCGCGCTGCAAGCCCCTATCTGACAGGCAGGATGCAAGCACCACAGCCAGGAGTAGTGAATAAAGGTCCGCGTGTCTTCGACATCCTCAAGCACATAGGGTCGAACTATATCAAGTTATTCAGAGCCCCGCAACTTGTTCACGTTGATATGCCTGCCTGAGACGTCTGGGCATCCACTCCATCCAAAACTAGCGCTAGTCGCCCATCCTCGGTGTAAAGAAGTGTAAGGTAAGGTCATGATGGTTGCCTCCTACTTCGCAAGGACGAGCCCACATGGCAAGGGTCTTGATTAGTTCTTCGTGGTCTGCGGGGGCTTTATGCCATGTCAGCTTGTAAGTGTTGCAGGACATAAATTAAAGTAGCGAGGCCCGGAGTAAACCCTCTTGGGAAGGCGTAACGGAATTTTTCGCGTCGTGAAAAGAAGTGTGTACACAACTGACTACGCAAAATCAGATAATGACGGGCTTACGTGCCTGTGCGAAGATGCCCGTGCTTTCACGAGACGAACTGAACAAATTCACCGCGCATGCCCTCATGTCAAAAATCCAGATGAAGCGTTGTCGCCATCGTGTGTTTAATCGACATGTCATCGGCAATGCTCAAAACACTGACGGAACGGTGAGTGATGCGTGATGGGAGCTAACAGAAGCGTTTGAACATCAGATCAGCATACAAATGGTGACTTGATCGGTGCTGGTTGTACGCAGCGCAAAAAAGAGGTTTGATGATGGTACTGGCTATGAATGAAGATGAGGTGATGGTTCTGGCGCCATGCCAAGGACCATGTATGGCAGAACCAACACGAAACGAGATGATCCCTGTATGGTTCAAAGGTTCGGCTGATTGCGTCTGGCGCAAAGGAATGTCCGAGCACGAGAGGAAATGGAGGACGAATCAAGCAACATAGCTGCATGGTTCTCACTCGCGCACACACACACACACACAGGCAGACAAACAGAATTAGGGCTGAACTAGCAGCTAGCACTCCACTCGTCGCTGACTCGTCGGTACCAACCAACAACGAACTGCTGTTCAACCCGGCTGTAGACAAGCTTCTTCGCCACCTGCATCATCTGGCATCGCCTGGCGGCCGCCGAGGTTCCATTCGGCGGCACATGCAGCTTTGCATCGAACAAGCCTAGTCATTCAATCGAATTGGAAGCATGCACATGCGTGAGCACACACCGCCAGTTCTGATGCACAAGGAGAACAAGACACGGTAGCAAGTTCGATGCTTCGGCCTCCGCGATCAAGGTGTTGATGCGGTGCTTGGTCCTTCGGGCTCGCACGATGCGGGGCCACTCCTTCTCCAATCCTGCGCAGGCAACGAGACAATAAATATGTGCACAAAACCCATTCTTGGCCTCTGTCTTGCATCTGAGCAATTTCATTCAAATTCCGGAACTCCATCACTCACCCCTGAAGCGTTGCTACAAACTGCGACAATGCATTCAAAGAGGCTTCCGCCGGCAGCCGCGCGCCGCTCGAACTTGTCGGCCTCTGCCATGGTTCCACGGCCACCGAAGGCTCCACATTGACATGAACAAGCAGGGACTCAAGGCGATTCACGGAGGTTGACGCAGAAAAACTTAAAATGTTTGAAATGACTAAATTGACTAAATATCGACCTACATGTCCATGAGGACACTGTGTGTGCCCCGTTCCTGTGTTACAAAAAGTTCTGACTCAAGTTCGCATGTCCCACAAAGCTTCATTGAGATCCGAAGGCCCGGATCATCTTCTCAAGTGCATGCCCAGGCTCCTGGGCAGCCTCAGTTTGCACCATACTTTCGGTCGCAAAGGGCATGGCTCTGCATCAACCCTTGCTGCAAAAGCTGTAGAGTCTGCAGCGCAGCACCCCAGCCCATTTCCACTGCAAGTGTTGTCAAAGTAGCTTTTGAATACGCACGCAGTTGGACTCTAGATGACTCTAGCCTTGCAGCCGACGGCATGTGCTGTGTGCCCCCAAAGCCAAGATGCACGGCTCATCTTGGGCCGTCCGGCTGCTACATCGCCTGCGGCCCAGGCTGACAGCCTTGGGTTTTGCACAGCTTCGGCCTTGCAGTCTCCACCAGAAGACCGCGACCCTTAACAAATAGAAAAGGGTTTGGGGCCCATTATACTAAACTTTTATAAGGAGCCCCCCAAAATAGTACAGAAAGGACTGGTAAGTAGGCAGGCCCCTACATTAGGGGGTTCACTTTGCTTCGCTAGTATGCCATATGCAAGCGCTGCACAGGCCAGTGGCACTCGTAGCAGAAGCTAGACCCAGAGCCATCGTCACAAAAATCTCACCAGGTATAAACCAACTCCCATCGGCAAAGAGGCTCCGTCTTGTAGACCGCCTCCTGGAGTGTACAAGGCGGCAGCGGTCGGACCGCAAGCCATAGGCCGTCTCTATCTAAACCATACGTGCATTTTTCATGACATGGCATGGCACCCGCCACTTTGGATTCCGTTGACATGGACAGAGAAACCGAGAGAGCGAGAGAGAGAAAGAGAGAGAGACAGATAGAGATAGGGAGCGCCAGAGAGGGAGATACGGCAGCGAAGTTGGGAGCGAGGAAAGACAGCTCAGAAACGAGCAACAAGAATGAGCGATGGAGAAAGAGCGAGATTCAGACAGAGAGAGAGAGAGAGCAATAGTGACGGCGAACATGCGGCAGACATGCAGACAGCGGTTCGGTCAGAATCAAACTGGCATAGAGGAACGCATGAACCTATCTGCAAGGTGATGCGGGTTCGTGAGTACATCAGTAGACATGTGCCGAGGTGACTGTTCCTACACACATGCACACGTAAACAAGCACAGGCGGACGCATACGTAAACAAAGACAATTTGGGATCAATGCACATGCAAAATCTCGTGCAGAGATGCAGGCTGCACATGCGATGCTTGAACACAGCACCAAAAACTTGCATAGATGTCCAAGTCAAAACATAGAGATGCATTGGTAGCTTGCCGCTGTAGCTGCTGAATTAGCTACTGTAGGTGGCAAGAAAGACCGGCAAAGGCAACGACTGGTACACTCCGGACTATGCGACTGATTATGCAGAGCTGCCAGTGTCAGCGCCCGCCGCGCCAGCGCAGAGTGGTTGGCGCCGCCCAGGATGTGGCGAACTGGCGCCCAGGCAACTCGAGTGCCTTCTGAGCTTCCCCGAAACTGCCCAAGCCGTGGTTGAAGTTTTCGTTCGTTCGTGGTAAAGCGAGCATCAACTGACTGCGCCGTCCCTAAGCTCAGCCTGTACCCAGAAGCACACCTTCTTTTTTTCTGCGCACACATGTACACCGATAGCAGTCGAGCACTAGTCGAGCCCTCGTGCTCTCGACCGTTTCACTCAAAAAGCTCAACCTCGCCTGGGACCACTTCGAAGAGATCTTGTCCAGAGGGGTCCTATACCATCCATGCTGAAGCTTCGCTAGCAAGAAATGATGGAAACATCGACGCTGCTTAGGTCCTTCACCGTCACATTTGTACCCCAGTAGTTCAGCAGGCAAAGCCATTCTCCTGGGTTCTCACACCGCAATGACACGCAATTGAGGCCTCATCATGTTCATAATTGGTCAGATAACACGCATGATAAGCTGCAGCTACGACAAGGACTTTGGTAAAGTTGACATGCAGTCTGCAGTGAGAGTAGCAGCCTTAGATCCATGCTGAACACTAGTATTGCCACAACTCCTGCTTTGAGTACATGGCAACACGAACTAATTACGACGAATGGAATGGACCGAGTTTGGCATGCCGAATATTCTGAAAAGGTAGTTTGTCCTCGTTGTAAGGGTGAGGCCCAATTCTGGAACTAAATTCAGGAACCGAGTGGGGCAATTCAGGAGCCAAAATTCGGGAACGGGTGGGATTCCGGAAGACGCGTCGCGGACTGCGTGTGCGACTTCCAGACCCGTGAAGCACCAATTCGAGAACCCTGGCGCCAAAATTCCGGCACAAATGGATCTGACTTGGTGCATTTCAGCCACGCTGGGTCAAGGCAGTTGTCCAGAGCTGTTTAAAAAGTCGCAGACCATGGGCCCCCCCCTTCCGACTCCGGGTTCGAAAGTGGTTGGCAAGGGGGAGGCGATAGGAGGAAAGCAAAGCAACCTGCAGCTCTCCTTTCCCTCTTGGATGTAATTTGTTTTGCTTAGACGTAACTTGTCCCACCTGCCATCAACCCCTCCTACCCGCCTAATTACCCCCACTCCCCACGAGACGAAAACCCAAAGGAGTGAATCCAGCCAGAACCTTTGAACCAAAACGAAAAGCCTAAGGAGTGAATCCAGCAGAAGTTTGCCTGAAAACGACGACCCTAAGGAGTGACACCAGCGAGAATCATGTACCCAGGACGAAACCCTAAGGAGTGAATCCAGCAAGAAACCTTTCCCGCAGCCAAAAGCCCTAAGGAGTCAATCCAGCGAGGACCGGTTGCCCAAGACGAAAACCCTGAGGAATGAATCCAGCAGGAAACTTTTACCGAAGATGAACACCCTAGGCTCCCAAAGGAGTTACTCGGGTTGGTGAGTTCGTGAACTTGTGAAATTTAAAACGGGTGGGGTCTGTGAGCAGACTAGGAGACGGACGAAGCTGAAGCCGACAGCCACAGGCTCTGAATTGTAACTTCCTGGTTCTCGATTTGCGTCCCGTGGTTCCCGAATTCCGACGTGCCAGTGACCTAGCCCCGGCCCCGAATTGTGACAGCGAGTTCCTGAACTTTGTGCCTGAATTCCGGGGGGAGTTCCTTAATAGGACTTCGCTCCTCGTTGTAAAGAGTTGTACTAAGCCCTCCACTTTGCGCAGACCAATATCCTCTCCAGAAGCAACATCCAAGTCCCAAGTAAGGGTTGTTGCCAGGCACCTCTGCGGCTGGCCACGACCTGCTTTCCTCGCGGTGCTGTCTACCAAAGGAACAGTTCCGAAGCTTCATATGCCAGATGCAATGCTCTGGAGGTCAACTTCTTGTTCGAATCCCTCAGCCACCGTACCCGCAGTCGGTGCCTGGCTTGATGGTCGTCCATGGCTGGTTTTTGTCGCACTTTGTGCATCTTACCTTAGGCTTGTGGAGTAAAATTCTGACCGCTGCAATGGCAGACCGAGTAATCAGCGGCAAGGCCCGGGGGTCAAACAGCACTCGGGTTTCTGACAGCGTAAACTTGCCGCTCAACTTTACCTCGGACTTGTAGCTGTACTATACATGCACGGGGCATACCATCCATTGCATAAGAACTGCACGGCGACAATAGTCAAAGGACGCTCCTGGAAAGGCAATACTACATCCTTCATGCTGTCCACTGAAGACAGAAATCTGACCGAAAGACTCGTGTAGCATAGTTTGCGATCGAAGGTACTGGGCGTTTGGCGATGCATCGCCAGATTTCTGCGTGTCGGCCCTTGGCTGGACAGCCGCTAGACTCCCGCTTTCAACGCACATCGTGAGCACCGATTCCCGAACCTCGATGAAGCCCAACTAGGTCTACGTGCCGGGCGCAGCCCTACAAGGCAAGCCTGGTGAACATGTGCCTGACATGGGACTAAAGAGACTCTAGATGACTCCAGGAGCCGCTGCAGCCAAGCAGCGCAAGCTCCAGCGTGAGCTCCAGCGCAGCTCAGCGGGTCGAGAAACCAAAGACCAAGGCCAGCAAGCGCCTAGAATTCCCCACTGCATTGGCACGTGTTAAAACGAGCTACAAAAACTGCATGGGAATCTTCTCTGGGTTGGATGCTGCCAGCTTTGCTGGTCAATGGGAGAGGTCTCTGCAGCTCAGGCACAGCGGCGACCCCTCGCATGCTGAGACATGCTGCAGATGCTCAAATGCTTCCAACTCGTGGCTCCTTGCTACAAGGCGGCAGCCTGTTGTTCGCCCCGCCGTGAGAAGTTGCATGCTGATGTCTTTCCATGATTTACCATACACCTGAAAGCAAAAGAACAGAAATCAAGCCAGAATGCACAGCATGAAATGAAACTATATCAAGCCGTCACAGCTGCAACAGGCAATGTCACAGAACAGCGCTGTGCACCAGCGCACAATGCCTCTTGAAGACAGCTGGGCCCGCCGCTTGCTACAGTACGGCTACTACTTCTCCTCCACCTCCTGCTCCTACTGCCACTGCTACTGCTGCTACTGCTACAGCTACAGCTACTGCTACTACTACTTCTACTACTACCATCACTACCACTACCACTACCGCGACTGCTGCTGCTGCTGCTGCTGCTACTACTGTTGACATTTGTATCAATAACTACTAACTACTTACTTCTCAATTTCTGGCCGCTGGCTACTGGCTACTAATGCTAACTACGTCCTACTACTTATTTAGCTACCATCTTCTCACTACTTACTACTTGTAATACTAACTACTACAGTATACAAATACTCTAGTAACTACGGACTCTACCTGCAAACGACCTACCAACCACAAACTGCCTACTGGTTTCAACTTACTACGGACTCAATACCTACTGTCAAATCAATAGCCACCAAACGCCAACGACTAATGACTAACCTGACGCTACCACTACTACTACTACTACTACTACTACTACCACCACCACCACCACCACCACCACCACCACCAGCACCACCACTACTAAAACTACTGGACAAACTACTGCCAAATACTACTAATGCTGCTGCTGCTACTGCTACTTCTACTACTACTACTACTACTACTACGACGACGACTACTACAACTACTACGAC